GCTTTTCTCTTGTGAAACGAACTGGCTAGGAATGTTTCCTTTCAATACCTCTGAATGTATAGTAGTTTCTAACTGAATATTGTATTGCTTTTTATTCTGTTGTTGTGGTTTTTAGGAGAAATCAGAAAACAGAATGGTGAGAGCCTTGTCCATGCTGCTATTGTCTCAGAAGGAGCTGTTGTTGGGAGTGCAGAAGCAAACGCGTTCAGTGTTCTTCAGCATGTTTTAGGTGCTGGGCCCCTTATCAAGAGGGGAAGCAATGTTACCAGCAAATTGTGTCAGGGTATTGCTAAAGCAACTATCCGGCCATTTGATGTAAGTTCAAAGGTTTATTGTACTCTGATACTTTAAGTAAAATGCATATTATCCATTGAGACTTTACTACCACCAGATACAATTGTAATTAGTTCAGTCTTGCACAAGTTACAGTACTTCAGAGAAGGACTTCCAACCTGATCTTTCCTCTGCACAGATGGAATTTAGCTTCCTGACTTACAGTATTTTAGATCCTGATAGTAATTATTTTCCTATGCTTGATGGATGGATGGATGGATGATGCTGGAATGGATTAATGTTCTGATACTTGAAACAGTTGGTGATAATGTTTGTTTTGCAGGCTTCTGCATTTAATGTGAATTACTCTGATTCTGGGCTCTTTGGGATTTATACCATATCCCAGGCTTCAGACACTGGGGAGGTGAGTTGCTGATTAGAATTTAACTACTAGGAATATAACCCTCAAACTAGTTTCGATCTGAGATAGAGGCTAATTCATCTAAAAAACTCAGTTCATCTGGTTTCTTGTATGAGAATGCTGCATGGTCAGTTATAACTTAGCTTTGTAAGCTGGGTGTGAGACTTGCTATCTAGGAAGTACAAATACCTAATACAAATAAGAGCTAGTAAAATACTGTAATTGCTGACTTACATGTGTAAGCCTAAGTGTATCAGGAGGAACATGCTGGCTCTTGAAGCTGGCAGAAGTGAGTGAACTCTAATGAAGAAATGGTGAGACCATACAAATTAATGTGGTGTTGCAGTTTCATTCCACAAGGCTTTTTGTGCCTTGCTTGGGCATTTATTACAGTGGTCTCAGTTTTGTTATGAAGCTGTTCAGAATTGAGTTCAGGCAGACAATCCTAACATCATCAGCTGCTCTGAAGTTTCTGAGATGTCATGTAATGGAAATAACATACTGAAATTTAATGCTGGAAGAAGTCTTAACTAATGTAATTTTCCTCAGGTCATTAAAGCTGCTTTGAACCAGGTAAAGGCAGTTGCTCAGGGCAGCGTCACTGATGACGATGTCACAAAGGCAAAGTAAGTGCATAAAGAACTCTCTTGTGTATTGTGAAGAAAAGTTTCTTAACATGTAGCTACTTGTCAAACGCTTAGATTATTCTGTACAGCAGAGCTTATCGTTGTCTTGTAATTAGTTCCATTGGGAATTGCTCACTTTCCTGTGTTAAAACTGAAGCACTGTCAGTAGGGTTTTTTTCCCAGAGCTGTACTGATGCTCTGCTTGTGGCATTTCCTAATAAAAACTTGTTAGATAAGTGTTAATAATTTCTGAAAACTGTTTCAATGTAAGAAATTGGCAAGTATCCACAGATGCTGTCATTTTAATCATACTCTATACTATTAAGATGTATTCAAATTCAAATTGCAGTATTTAGGTAATTCCCTTTACAGTGGCACTGCAACAATTCCCAAAACAATTATATTAAACAATCTTCTGCATCTTCAAAGAATAGTAATAACGAGGGTCTGCAAGTGTAAAGCACTGAATTAGTGCTTTAGTGTTTGAAATAAGTGCCCATAGGAATATTTGAGATATGGAGAAAATTACTATTAGAAATGCAGTAAAATCAACAAAGTTTTAGGGTTTCTAATTGGGCTTGATATCCAGATGGTGTTAGACTGCACTGAGCCTCTCAAACTGTAGTTATGCAATATAACAATATGGTACAGATTCACTCAAGTAGCAGCATTAAAATATTGCCCATTGCATATGTAAAATACTTACAAGACTCCATGTAAAGCCTGATTACAGAAAACATAATAACCTAAACATGTTTGGTTGTGCTTTAGTCACTAGTAGCTAAATGGTGAATTCTGGACCTTTATATGTGGCATTATTTGTTTTGTGTGTTGGAATAATTTTGTTTTGTGGTATTTCTTGGCTTTGTTTGTAACAAAGCTGCCTAGTATTAGGGAGTTACAGTGCTGTGGCTTTTTAGGGGGAAGAGGGGTTCCTTTCTGGAATGGATTAATGTATTTTCTATCTTGTTCTTTCTCCTTTAGTTACAAAAAACAACCAACGAAAAATTAACCCAAAAAACAAACCAAATTCGAGGTCAGCGATATTTGCAGTCTGGCAATTCAGTCTAATCATGTTCTATTGGAATAAACCATTTTCTGCCATTTTGTTGTTTAAAAAAGAACAGGACTAGCTTACAAAAGTAACATTTTCATACGTAGCAGTGAGACTGCATGAAATAGAACAAACAGTGTAAACTTGCTGTCTTTTAACAGAACATGGAACTATTGCTTAAGAAGCCTAACCATTGACGTTCACTGCTGCTTTGTCACTTCCAACAAAATAGCTCTGCGTTAAGTCTGTTCTTTATGAGAAACTGAAATCCATTTTAAACCTAATTTTTAAACTTGATAGTTTGTCTGAATCCTGTGGTACCTGCATCAGTTCCTTAAAACAGAAACGGATTCTGAGCTAGGGATCTTCTGACTGTAGGGGGTGGCAGTAGGTGCTGGTGTACCCTGTCATTTTCACACTTGGAGTATTTGTGGTACCTCTTTCCTAAGTACAGAATCCTTACATACTTGAAAAGGAAACCCTTCCAAAATGAGAGGAATCTTGAAAACTTAAAAAGCCCCAAAAACTCATTGCACTTAGAAGGGGTGGTGACTAAAGTAATAACAGGATTTTCATATTCGCTCATCCTTAATGCTTTATTTGATGGCAGAAATCAGCTAAAAGCCACCTATTTGATGTCAGTGGAGACTGCAGAGGGGTTGCTGAATGAAATAGGCTCAGAGTCTTTGATGTCTGGCACACACACATCGCCATCTGTTGTTGCTCAAAAAATCGACTCTGTAGCCACTGCTGATGTTGTCAATGTAAGTATGTGTCAGCATTACAGGTGTGTCTTAATCACCGTGTAATGGGTGCTCATTTGTGTGTGTTTATAAACACACACATACAATATCTTTCAAAAAAGCCAAGGCAACTCATTTACAGCTCCCAGCTGGCTACCTTGTGATGCCTTTACTTACTTTATTAACAGGAGACTGTTTAATCCAATATGCTGCAAAAGTAGCATAGCTGGGAGTGTATGACATGCTCATATACTTTACTTGAATTTACCAAAACTGCTAACTAGTATTCATGGACAACTTGATGCTAGTTCCAGTGCAGACATCTCTATGTCAAAGGTTTTGGGATTCCTGAGTCTAGAATATTTGCTGTGCTTAATAAAACAATTACAGTGATAACTGATGTAACCATATTGCTATTCCACATCACTTTGTTGCTTAACAACTTGAAGCAAACTTCATAGAGAAATCCATCAGAAATTCTAAGAAAACTCGTTTTTTCCACAGTTACCACTATTTTGTGTTGCAGTAGCAACTAGCAATAGCTTTAGTAGTAAGGAAAGATCCACTGTATGTTGTGGTGTAATAATTATTCTAGGCATAACTATTTTCTAAGAGTTATGCCTTTTATATCCAACTGTCATTCTGCCCCTCCTGTTTAGATTATAAAGTAAGAAGAAGCTGGATTAGAAACAAGTTTAGACAGCAAAAAGAAAACTGTTTATTTGATGTACGATGGTAGTGTTGGGATTTGTTGTTTGTTTTAATAACTTGAAGCTGAGGCTGTGAGCAGCAAGATAAACTCTGTTGTAATGAATATTGCCTTATATCCATTTTCTCAATGTATTTTCAGGCTGCCAAGAAGTTCATCAGTGGGAAGAAATCAATGGCAGCTAGTGGGGAGTTGAGAAATACTCCTTTTCTTGATGAGCTGTAAAAACAAAACTGGGATGCAGATTCACAACGGACCTAGAATGAGCTCTAAGTCACCTGCGCTCCAAGTAAATTACTACTAACTTGTTATTTATGCATTCAGTTATTTCAGCAAATTTATCGCAAGTAATTGTGGGATTGCACTTGTCCAATAAAGTGCTGAGTTCATACATTGTGTGTTGTTGGTTTGTTTTCTACTGAAACTGTTACGTAAAATGCTGGCAAGTCTGGCTCTGTACGATGAAGATAGGACTACAGTGAGCAAATAAGGTGACAGTTTAGTCAATGTAAAAAATGGATATGCCAAAATGGTCACTGTGATGCAAATACTTGATTGCCACTAGTTGTCCGTATATTCTTGTATGTTCAGGAAAGGTTTGAGATCAACTATCTCCACCATCTTTATATCAAGAAAATGAAGAAACTTGCCTTCAAACAAAGATGAATGTATTAGGCCTTCCTAGAGCTTGCAACTGCTACGTGTCAGGGATGAGCAGAGGTAGTGTTTCTGAGTGTCTTCTCCACAAGTAGCATTGATAGACAGCTTTGAGGGGAGGGAGGGCATTGCTAAAACATTCAAGTATCTTACGACATTCACAATTTTTTTGAAGGCACATGTTAGAAGAAAACAGATACAATACAATTTGGAAACCTATGTGGGGACAAGTCAGGTTCTGCAACAGAGGAAAATTCTTCTAAATGGGATGTATGTGATAGAGAAGGGCAGAAGGAAGAGGAACTGTAGCCCAGTAGGAAGGAGGTCTGACACCACTAGTACCAAGCTTAGGATTGTATCATGCTTCAACATCGTTATGAAAAACAGCATCGCAAATATGGTCTGTGCCGACCCCAAGCATCTGGCCTGTATCAGGTATCTGCCAGATTTTGAATATTGATAGTAACTTAGGAATGAACTCACAGCAGTATGATGGGGGAAATTTACACTGAAAAATTTACAAGCCTACATCATCATCAGTACTGGACCCGATGTCATCTTCATCGTAGTCTGTGCTGAAAATACAGAAAATACTGGTGTTACTTGAACATGCAGTAATTCCCACAGCCGTTTAGTTCACTAATCATGGACTCTTGTTCTGAAGACAAGTTTGTTAGTTCTGAAGCTCTCTAATATCAAACTAGTACTATTGTCCATAACCCTTTGCACACTGTTTCCTTTGCACTCCACAGCTAAGTTGTAATTTGGTCATGAGAAAAGCAAGCTATCCTTTTTCTGCTCCTTCAGAATAGCAAATAATTTGATGTATTTAAACATACAGGTTTAATGTCTTAGAAAGCCCCTTGCTTCCAAGGTAGCTCCAGCTTCCCTTCTGCTGTTCTAACTCAATTATCTCCTTTAAATACTTATGTTCCTTCCATTACATATTAGGTTTCTACTAAAACTTTGTGCCTCAGGAAAACTTGTATGCCATCTACATTAATCATACTGACCGTATGAACCACGTTTAGGATTGAGCACAATATATTTTTAGGCAGTGATTCTCACAAGAAGAGTTTATTTTTCCTGAAGTTCAATTTCAAAAGTCATACTCATTATCCACTGTCAGTAGCTAAGACTGATTAAAGAACAGATAAGCTGTTTAGATGGTGGTATCAAGATCTCCATCTTGGTACCCTCAGCTACTTGCAGTTGTCTAGATCTTTGGCTATCACAAACCGGCATGGCCTCTTGACTTCAGAGGTGTTCCTGCCAGTCAGACTTCTGCTCACTGTGCAGGCAGGAAGGGGCATATCTAAAAATGCTCATCCTGACCCTGTCTCCACTGTAACTAGAAAAGTGAGCTTTCCTTTGGTGTATGTTCATTTCAAATCACAGGTTTCTATTAAAAATAAAAAATGAAAGTACATCTTTAGACCAACATTTTATCCTAAACTGTAAACGCTATTACACTATTTCTTGTTTCTCGCTGCAATGATAAGCAATGTGAAATTCTAGTTATGTATAATAGTTATTTCTTACTCTGCTGACACCACAGGCAGCTTTACTTCAGGAATTAATTCAACTGCACTTTGCCAGTCTTGAGGTACTTCAACAAAATCTCTGTAAACTCTGATTTGTAGAGTCGTTCCTATAGGAATATTGTGCAGGAGTTGCCTAAGCTGTCGCAGGGTCCAGCCCAAAACGGTGGCATGTCCAATTTTTATTAGAACATCCCCTACCAAGGAAGAAAACAGACAGCAATCATTTTGAGACTCTGTCAATTTTTAACTGTTCGTATTCTAAAATATATAGTCTTTAGCACTATACTTTCATGTTTTTATTGCATGTATTCATCAGCGCTTCAACTGGAGGTAATTCTTTTTTCTTTCTATTTTAATAATGTTTTTCGCTCTGTTAAGAACTAACTGTTCACAACTCTAAGGAAAGCTGCAGATTGCTTGTTTGCTTTGGGACTTTTCTGAGTGAACATGATAAACTTTAGGTTGCTTATTCAGTGCTACCTTCCATTTCTGTGAGGGTTGGGGGCCAGATAAAGGTAAAATGCTGAATGCTTTGATCAGGATCACTACCTGAGATCAGACAGACTCCAGCAAGGTTCAGCTGAGGTTATACGCCTGCACATGTCACCTTGTGTTTGACTGGGCCCCTGGAGGCTTCCAGGGTTGGCTCTCCTTGGTGACTAGCGCCTGTCCCTCTGGTCCCAACACATGGGTACATTGCAATACAATGTCAAGCAGGCCAGGGAAGACAGGATGTGCCTACTACAGCTGGTGCAGAGGCTAACTGAGGAGTTCAAGCAGAAAGTGGTGGTGATGTTGTTTGTTAGTTTGTCTGTTTAAGGGACAAGGCTGCAAATAACATTACCTACTGCTAGTGGAAAGCGCTGAGCTGCAGTTTGGCAAAAAGCAGTACTACATCCAGGAACAACAGTACAGAAGCCCCAGCACCTGTATGTACCATGGGGTGTAACAAGGTGGGCTTTGAGGGGTTGGGGGCAGTTACTCTATAAACCTGTAATTTTGGAGACTGCAAAAGGCAAGCAGAATCTACTTGCAGCAGATTATAGCTCCATGAGCAGCCTGGCAGAAACAGTTGCACAGTAGAGCAGTACCAGTAAACGTTACCTACTGAACTGCAACAGAGCAGCATAGGGGATTTAAACAAGCAGTACAGCTGTCTGCTGCCACATTAGCAGAGCAAGGAGCCTCTCTCCATCTGCTCAGTTTTCTTTTTATCCCTTTTGGGTTAAAAATGCCTATAGCAAAAAATTTGCAGGCTTTCAAATTGTTCACCTGAGCTACTATCATGTTTTCATTCGCTTTTTCCCCATTAACTACTCCTTCTCCTCCATCGTCATCACACCTTCTCTCCCCGTTAGTTTATCACAAGATACTGGATATACTGGGGTGCAAACAGGAAGTTCTGGAACAGCTACCAGGGTAGCAGATAACAAAAAAGCAACAGAAAACATTTTACCAACAGTTTTATGTAAGCTCTCAGCCTCAAGCAGAAAGATGCACACCCAAATTCATGTTTCAAAATGCATAGATATAAATGTACTTACGATTTAAAGCATCTGCAAGACATTCTTGGCCTTGGACAGATTCTTTTAAAATTCATTTTTTTCTGCCCATACTGTTCTGATAACACTGCTGTGGTGAGTCAAAGCCATCTCTGAACTGCAGATGGAGATAATTTTGCTCCTCTGCTCCAGCATCTAGAGTCTGAACCACCCAGTTTTTCAGTTCATCCATCAGTTTTGTGATTGACACCCTTCAGTGGCCACTGAAGATTTGTGTGGAGATAACCTCTTGCACTATGAAGGTATTCTGAGGAAACAAGTCCTAAGCAGCCCTGTTTCTTCTTGCTGGCATGCAGAATAGGGCATGCATATGCACATATAAGTTTGGTGAGTATAACTGTAGGATTTTAAGACATTAGTGCCTCCCACTACCTCTGTTAATTTCTAGCTCCTCCCCATTAAAGTCAGCAGAATGGCGCCAGGTCTTTCAAGCTATAAGCAGTTATAAACAGTTCTTTTAGGTTCCCATTTGACATCGTACAGATAATACTCAATCAGCTGGGGAAAAAAGTTAAAGATAAGACCTAATTCACTGAAAGAAAAAAATCTTAAGCAATGCATTTGTGCATCATATTTTTGCTAAGCTCATGCTCTGGACATTGGTAGTAATGCCAAAATAACTGTGCTGCTGTGGTATCCTTGAGAGTCGGAGCTTCTACAAAATACAGTCTTTTCTGCAAAGTTTTACAGCTTTGGTCTTAAATACAAAGGTTTTATAAGTTTGCTCTACACATAAATTGATCAAATTCAGCTGTTTGCTGAATTTGGGTTTTTTGGTGTATGGAATATGCTGAGTTAGATCGAGGTGCTCCATGAAGCATGCTCAAATTGTTTCTTTTGGCTCCAAAACCTAAGATCAGCTACTACAAAGGGACAGTGTTTGTAACCAGTCCTTAGGCCCCTTTAAACTGTTCAATACCTGCTGCAGTAAATCAAACACATCACATGCTGTAAATAATTTGAATCCTTGTCCTTGTAGGCTTTATTGAAAATGCTTTTGGAGCTTGCCTTTTTCAAACTATTGCAAACAGGACTACTTAGTTTCAGTGACTAATACTATGTATTTTTTACTTTATAGACGTAAAAAAACCCTAAGCAAACCAACAACCAAATCAGTATCATATATATGTTTTTGTATAACATACGGGTTTTGGGGTTTCTAGGGAATAGATAAAAGCTATCAGGTCCTAAGATAATAAAGGTACTTAGTTCAAATCCAAATCCATTCCTGTATTATGTTCAGGATTTTTCCAAGGATTTTTATACTGAGATCAAAAATGCAAAGCCTTTTCTAAAATGAGGTTAAGAACTCCACTCACTGGTTTTTATTTCATCAAACAAGTAGATCTTTCTTCCTAGTGCTTGGAATTCTAATTCTTTCTGAAAGGTGCAAGAAGAACTGCCCAAATTATAAAGGCAATGCTGGGAAAACGGTTCCAATTTGAAGACACACATTTGCACTGTACAGCAGAAAGTTTTAATGACTTCATTACGCTCAAGTCATAGCTTCGTAGATTTCTACGTTAGAGACAATTTAATATTTGGTAATAACATAACACACTAACATCCCCGAACTGTAGTTCATGAGTCTAATATAATCAGTCTAGGGACCCATGTAAAGCATTTACGTTTACAGAGCTTTCAATTACAAGCTTAATATAGGTGTCTGATGTTCCACAAGAAACCTTAATAACCAGTAATAGTCTGTTAGTACTGATATGGCACATTTCAGGTTTAAAGCATTTAGCAAATTAACACCTGCATGGATTGTTAGAGCACAGAGATTTGTCTACTGCCATTTAGTAACTATTCTGTATAATACAGAGAAATAAAAAGCAAACAATAAGGCAAATTAATTTCAAACCTTTGGGAAGTTTTGTGTTACTTGTAGAGTAAAATTACTTGAACAATAATGCACTGAACAAAGAATGGTACTATTCAAGTTTAGCTGCTATACAAAGGTAATAGTTAAACTATTTTTTGGCAAACCTGATGAATAGGAAACCTGGTTTTGCTGAAGAGAAATATACAGACTTAAATCTTGATCTGATTATGGAACAGTCACCCATATCAGCTATTTTAAGATCACAGGTATTTTAGTACAATGGAATGCTGGCACTGAGCTTTACACAGTTTATGCTGGTTTCTCTTCTCTGTAATTTCAAACTGAGTTTCTTTTGATCTGTGTAAGTGTAAATAAATCAGAGACAGGCTCAAAGCACAAGTGCAGAACATTTTCAATGCTATTAAATTTGGATATCACTGTCGGTTCCTCTTACCTGGTTTTAGCTTTCCATCATTAGCTGCAGAGCTTTTCTCAACAATGCTTGTTATCTGGAGATATGGCCCATTCTGTATGACTATGAGACCTAATCCTTGTTTACCCATCCTAATAGTTGCCTTCAGTACTGCAACCAGTGTGTACTGAAAGATGCTTTCCAGTGATGGCATCTGCCCTGTGAAAAGTAAGAGGAAAATTTTACTAGTTGAAAATGTGATATAATTCTTCAATAACAGGTTTAAGGAGACATTTGAGCAGGTGCTGGACCCAGTCTTAATTGTCCAAACAGTTAAGTCCCTCATCCTTAACTGCTTCTTTAGGTAAGCATTGCCTGCTGAGTCACACATTTTACCAAGAGAAAAAGCAATACTGCTGTTACTTAAGTGTTCATTACTAACAGTGGTATATTCAGGGAAAGTAGAGAACAGGATACAGGATAACAGAACAGAGGAGGTGTCAGCTATTAAAGACTTCAAGAAAAGATTGAATTACTATAAAAATGTAAAAATGGATTTTTCAAATCAACATTTATAAAGGAGATAAATTTCTAAATTTCCAGCAGACTGGTTCCACACTCTACTGCTGACATGAGGGAAGGGCCTAAACTTGCCATAGTTAGCACATACAGAAATAAAATACTCTTGAAATGAGAAGTAATACAATATAAATGACATTTATCCCAGTGTCTCCATCAAGAAGTATAATAGGGATAATAAAGAAATCTCCATCTCTCAAGCCTGTTCTCATTAAGAGCCAAGAGAAATTAAGACTGTCACATGAGTGCTTCCGACTCCTAAACCAAACTGTATTCTATCAAAAATTACTTTTTGTCTCTGTTTCAAGATGTAATCTCTAAATATAACTTCTGACAGTAGAGTACCAATATATTAACTACTTGAGATGCACTCCAGTACTCTGAAATCACTTAATGAAAATTCCCACCACTTTATCCTTCTTCTTTAAAATATAGAAACTTGGTCATCTTTCCAATGGCTTAAGTAAAGCTTTGGATCAGGCTCCAAATGACAACCCAGAATGTCTATAAAAGAATTAAGATCGAAAGTATAGCAATGTGAACATGTCATTTGTCAATTTGGCTGCTGAACTGAAAAACAGAGAAGGAAGCTGGAATGGGTTTATGGGTTTTTTTTTTCCTTCCCAATGAAAAATGCAGTATTTTTTAATTTGTTGTTAGTAGAATACATTTAATTTGGATTAAATACTTCATTTTCATGGTCAGGAAAGAAAAGCAAAGGAAGACCCACTCTAGCACATACTTTAACCTGTTGATAATTCTCACAGATCAGATGTCTGACCTGCGACTGTTTTTCTTGCTCAGGAATTTATGCAAGGTGGAACAGGATCAATAGAAGGGAAGGGATTGAAACCTTCCTGTGGTGTTCTTGGTCACTTTTCAATGTGTGTTTCAATCTTTTTCAGCCAGAAAAGGAAACTGAATCCTAGTTTCCTATTTCCAGAATAAGTACTTAATTCCCAGGCCAATAAATGTACATAGATTATATGAAGACTACATTTTGTAGTTATTATTATTTGTAGTATTGTTTTCTAGCCAAAATTATTCAGAAATTCCATTAAAATTCATGAGCATTTGTAGGTCAGCAAATGATCAGCAGTGAAATGAGAAACAAAAAATGCTATTTATAAATCTAGCTAACTTCATTTATAGATAGCAGAATCCTGATCTCAGGCTGCTTATTATTACATGAAGTTATCTTACTGCACATGAGAGTTTTAAAAGCACGAAAACTGTGACTAATCCAAAGCCTACAAAAGAATTAGGAGGAATGCTAAAATTCACTCTTTTAGCTGAGTCTCTTGTCTTTTTACTATACCTGTATCAGTCTATATAGTCTCCAAGGAAGGTGGATTTTCTCTTTGTTCTGTGCTACAGAAAGTTTAGGTACTTGACAGAACTTACATTACAGTTGCCCTAACACTGTCTTGATTTTCTCCAAGTTACCTTTCAATTCTGCAGTTTTGCAGGCAGCAGAGTAGGATCTCTCTGTTCTGATGAAGAAATACCCTTTTCTTTGTCACCTGCCTTTAATTCTGTTCCAAATACTTAACCTCAAGAGCAGAAATGCCTCTTGATACTAAGAAAAACTGGTGTACCAGGGGCTTTGTGAAGAAGATGCTGTCTGGTAGCACAAGGACTCAAAAAGTTTGAGATACTGAAATGCAGGAGTGAAAAAGTGCTGAGGCAGCAGTGACAAGGTGGAAATGAACAGACGAAGAAATAAGCAGAAGAGATGGATACTCACTCATAGTTTCATCCCCAGGCTCTAATAAAGACTGGGTATGTTTCATCAAGTCCTGAGGAAGACCTTTTCCTGTGAAGCCAAAATAGTGCCGGAGTGTCCGAGGTGAACCTTTTGGAAGTATGCTACTGCTCCATGGTGGCCTGCGGACGAAGAGTCTACCAGCAGGTGAGGAAGCCATGGTGCCTAGCAACTACTCAGAATGCAGGGGCAGGCAGGTTCCAAGCTCCCTCAGCACCACACACCAGCAACATGGGCACAGGGGAGTCTGGCATTGGGCAAAGGATGTGCCTGCATCTAACGCACTGTTTCAGTTCAAAAGGAGTAATTAGATTTACGCTGCCTGTCTGTCAGTACCACAGCTCTGTCTGAAGCCCCAGAGCTTTCTGGAGAACATATAGCTGCCGGTGTCCTGCCACACAGCATCCTTAGGCATGTACACATCCCCTGATAAAACTGAGAAAGATTAAATTAAATGACTGATCACACAGCCTGCATGGTATGAAGATGACTGTGTCACTATTTCTGACTTCATATTCGCCTGCGTACCAAAAGCCAGTGAAAACCGTATCTTCCCTTTGCGTACCCTCTCCACCTCTCCTTCTTTTATTTCTTTTGCAATGAAGCTGAGTTATTTGGAGAGAAATTCATTTGGAGGCAGACTTTTACATAAGCTTGTATTAAAAGCTATTTTAATACCACTTAAAGCCAGTTTATAGGATAATAGCAGGTGATTCTTGGAAATAATATCTTTTCAAGGCTGCTGTATTCCCTTGTTAGTGCAATATAATTTTTAAATCTTTTAAATAAAAATCAATTGTCTCATTTATTCCTGCACCAATTGTTCCCCATTTAAAGGGAGTTTCAGCTGCTTTTCATGAAAAGTCTTACTATTTTCTCCATCCTTTAGAACATCTGTCAAGAACAGGCGATTTCGATAGAATCTAAGCACAGCTCTTGCCCTCCAAAATGTAAGCTCTACTGATTGCTGTTGAACACTTTACTAATATCTCCATTTTGGTTGTATAGTCTCCCATCTACACAAAAGACTTACGTAAACAGTTCAGATAATTGCCTGCTTGGCTTCTGGAGTGTGATGCTGCTCTAGAAATAAACAAGAGAGTGTTTGCTGTTAGAAGGAAAAAACCATTACCTGTAGATGTGAGGGCTGCTAAACTGATTGAGTTCATCATTCCCATGCCAGAATGACAGTGTCAAAGGCACAGTTATTGTGGCCAAAACTGGGCTGGTTTCTCACATTTAGTGCATAGTTCACTTATTGGCTACAGATGCCCCCATGCTTCAATACAGCAGAATACATGGACGAGCATGTAACCAGAAATTGCTCTATTTGAGTGAGTCTATTTGGGTGAGTTTTCTCGTCAAGATTAATTAGGTTTTCTTCCAAACACATAGCCATGCAGTGTAGTACTGTTGTGGGGCTCCAGAGTCACGTAAAGCCTGGAGAAACCTCCATGAACCAGCCCTTCCACCTCCCTGGTTTTACAGGGGCAACTCTGAAATTTCAGCTAATGCCTCCTATTTCAAAGGGACACCATGACAGCGACAAGCGAAACAACAGATACTTTTTTTGTGGAGACAACAGATTTATGATCGTTCCTCAACCATCTATGCAGTGCCCACCAAGTTGCCCATGCTCGGTTTCCCTTGGGTGGGGGGAAGGCCCTCCCGGAGTGCGCTGAGGAGGGTGGCCTTGAGGTCTCCGGGCCGGCGCTGGGAGAAAGGAGGGGTTCCCGTGTGCCTCGGCTCAAAAACACCTTTGGAGACCTGGATGCGGCTCAAGCGCTGGAGCCCGTCCCGGCCGCAGCTGTGAGGAAACGAAACACCGCACCTGCGGGTACCGGCCGCCCTCACAGGAGACCCGCCCTGAGGCGGTGGC